GGGAGGTGCTGGGGGCTCCGGAGACCACGCGGACGCCTCTAACCCCACCCCTCCACTTTGGTCTAAGTCTCCCAAACTCATCCTTAAAGCCTTTTTGTCCGTATTTCTGGCACACGCTGAATTTAACTACAGGACAGCATTCCACCCGCTTCAGGAGAGCGCGGCAAAGCTCAGCGCGAGGAGGAGCACGAGGAGGAGCCGACGCCGAACGACCAAATCTGCCACCAGGCTCCGGACCGCGGCTCTCGGCATCGCCACCGCTAAACGCTCCTCTGCCTCCGGACGCAGCCGGCTTTCGACACGGATCTGCAAGCCTGCCAAGTCTCTGCTCTAACCCTCCAGCGCGCCGGCGGCGGCAGAGTTACTCACTCCAGGCTGGAATTCTCTGTGCAGCTTCTCAGGAACACTTCTTTACCGAAAGCAATCATGTTTGGATAACCAAGGAGAACAATTTCTCTTGATAGAGACTCGATCAGACAAGACACTGAGCGTATCTGATGTTGGGCCTTTCGGAATATCATCTCAAAGCACTTACCCAAACCAATAAAGACCTTCATTAAAAATAAAATAAAAAAAAAAGACACTCACAGGGAACATCATGCACAGTATTAAAAGCTTGGCTGGAAACGGGGGAAGCACGGTGATCTTGGATGTGTACTCACGCCTTCAAAAAGATCCCTCTCTTCCATGTCAGCCATAATTTGAAGATCTCAGAGGTGAATGTTTGTTTCTAAACCCACACACAGCTGCACCCCGAGCTCCTTCCAGCATCACCAGCACTCGGACCTGACCGGCAGCGCGTTACCAGGCGAGGTCCCCGCAGTACCTGGGTCCAGGACAACTGTCTCGTACAGACGAGCTCCACCAGCTCGTCAAAGACCCCGCTGGACACACCACAGCCTCCAACAAGCCACAAGCATCCCACGGCAGGCGCGGGACGACAGCTCCAGCGCAGGGTTTGCCCAGCTGCGGAGCGCGGGACGTCGGCCCCGGGTTGATTTTTTACGACACGCTGACCTGCCGGACGCTGAAGAACAGGGCTGGGGCGTTCGACTCGCTTGTGTTCACCCTCTGAGCTTGACTGGCAAGCTGAAGTCTTATTCCAAATAATCTTATTCCACACCTGGAGCCATCCCTACGCTTAACTTACCTACTCTGCAGCTCAGCAAAGACCTGCTTCATCTTCTTAATGGAGGCGTCCATCTCCTCCTTCACCACCACCCGGTACCGAGCCAGCGAGACGGTGCAGCGCTGGAGATCCTTCACTGATTTTTCAATATTTGAACCTACCAAGAGACAGAGTGAACTCAAACAGCCGTGTCAATCACACTGCTAAATCCTCCCAGCAGGGAGAAATCTGAAGATGGCTTTCCTTCTTATTTTAAAACCGTACACTGCTTGGTTTTACATTTTTCTTTCCCTTCCCCATTACAG